ATCAAGAATCTTGCCGCGCTCCCTCGTCCGTTGGATTGTTAGCTCGTCTTGTCGCTTAAACACCGCTACAATGTTTCCGAGCTCGAGGTTCCCGAGCCTCCAGAGGAGGATGCTACCCCACTGAAGACCCACCGGAAGAGGAAGAGGGGGGAGGAGGAGGTCGGGGGGACCTCCACTTCTCGCGATGCCGAGGAGGCGACCTCCCGGGTTGTGGACGCTGTGGATCTCACCGACAGCGCCTCGCCGGTGGCTACGGCGGAGGTGGTGCACGGTGTCAGGCTTACTGCACTGGACGCCGAGGTGAGTAGCTTATCATTTGCTCGCATTTTCCGTGTGAGTTCCGTCTTTGTTTTTTGAGGCGTTATGGATCCCTTTGCAGGGCGGGGTTGGCGTTGCTGAGGTGGAGGTCTGCGTTTGCGGGCAGACCGTCTGAGTTGCCAAGGTGGTAAGTATGGTCTTCTCGGACTTTTCACTCTGCCTTTTTGTTATGTTGTCCTCGCCGGTGGCTACGGCGGAGGTGGTGCACGGTGTCAGGCTTACTGCACTGGACGCCGAGGTGAGTAGCTTATCATTTGCTCGCATTTTCCGTGTGAGTTCCGTCTTTGTTTTTTGAGGCGTTATGGATCCCTTTGCAGGGCGGGGTTGGCGTTGCTGAGGTGGAGGTCTGCGTTTGCGGGCAGACCGTCTGAGTTGCCAAGGTGGTAAGTATGGTCTTCTCGGACTTTTCACTCTGCCTTTTTGTTATGTTGTCTGGCTGTTTGATCTGGGTGATTTTTTTTTGTAGGCAGGAAATGCCTCTGGGCCTGAGCTGCAGGTGGGGAAAGCCGCTGAGCCTGAGGTGCAGGCGGGGAATGCCGCTGATCCTGAGATGCAGGCTTCCGGGCTGGCCGCCCAGGCTGCTGGGGTGAGTCTGGTTTTTTTGTTTTTTGTTTTCATGGGTTTCTCGCATGTCACCTTATCTATTTGTGATGCAGGACTGGTTTTTGCAGGCGGAGTCGGGAGTCCCTAAGGTGGAGTCTCTAGGTTCTGAGCAGGGAGGGCCATCCTCTGCCGCGGGTTTGGCGCCGCAGGCGGGCTCATCGCAGGGGCCTGTCCGGCTCTTTCCTCGAAGTGAATGCGTTTCGGAGAGCGCATAGGGTTTGCGATTCCTCCATTTCCCACATGATTCGGCTTGAGCCCTGTCAGGCTGATGAGGGCGTGTATATGGGGAGGTCTATTGATCCCCCTCATTTCTATGTATATCAATGCTTTTTTAGAGATTTGGGTGTCTGTCTTCCTTTTACCCAGTTTGAGTGCGATTTTTTGAATTTCATCAACGCGGCTCCTTGCCAGTTGCATCCCAATAGTTGGGGTTTTTTGAGGGTTTTTCAGGTCCTGTGTACAGTTCTAGGTATAGAGGTGTCTCTTCGCGTCTTTCTTCATTTTTATCAGTTGAAGATGGGCGTTCCGCCTTATGGCATTTTGTCCCTGAGCGGGAGTAGGGATGGGGGCTTGTTTACTCCCTACTCCCAATCGTATAAAAATTTCAAGCAGGAGTTTTTCCGGGTCGCCCTTGTGGGTGTTGACCCTTTGGAAGACGAGGTGTTCTACTTCGGCGGTTTGCCGAGGTTTCCATTCTATTGGTGTCCCAAGCCGTCATGAATTTATGAGTAATATGCGATCCCAGAACGGGCCGTTCTAGTTTGAGAACGGCCCGTTCTGGATATGAAATTTGCTTAGGACGAATGAGTCCAGAACGGGCCATTCCGGATTCGAAACGGGCCGTTCTGGCCACATCTGATGCCTATAACTAGAACGTTCTGGCACTCCAAAAATGCATTTTTTCACTTTTGACCTTTTTTCTTCTATACTCTCTAAAGACCAAGGGGAACTCAGAGGAGGAGATTAGCAAGGCCTTGTTTTGGTTTCAGCTCCTGCTTATCGAGGTAAGGGGGGAGTGAGAAATCTGGCTTTGGGTGTGAGAATGTATGTTGGGTAGTGGGATTGGCCCCCAATCCTATGTTTTTTTGTATTTAAAAATAAATGTATAATTTTAATATCTCTATGGGTTCCTATTAGGGGTGAGCAACGGGTGGGTTTGGTCGGGTTCGGGTGAAAAATGTCCAACCCGTTGTAAATCGACTTTGAAAAAATGTGACCCATATCCGACCGACTGAGCTTTCGATTTGAGGCGGTTCAGGTTGAAACGGATTCGGATTTGAGCGGGTGGGTACAATCGGGTTTGAATTTTTTTGTAGACCAATTTATCTTAATGAAGATGAAGCTTAAAACGATAAAAAATATTTTTAAAATAGTGTATAAAAATAGAATGAAGGTGACAATATATGGTGTAAGTAGATTCGTAGTTGAAACATTTACAAACTAAAGAAGCAAAAATAAAAGATAACAAAATTCATAGTTGTTACATGGAAAAGAAATATAAAGTTAGATTACAAAACCATAAGAAATCACAGTCACACAAAATGTACTCAAAATG